AGAGACGTCTATATACTGTACGCTCCATGATTGGACCGGATTGGACAGGCAGTGCACCATCCTCCCGGTAGATGGCATCGTTGTCGATGCCATTCTCAATTCTCACGAGGACAGACGCCAGGTGCATCCAGCGTTCAGTGTGGTGCCTTGGGTTCTCTCTAGACTGAAACGCGCAGTTGTGACAATTTTTTTTTTCAAGCAAAATCGATTCTTCTGTCTGCGTCATCGTCATTCCGAATTTTGGAAGCTCAGGTACGTCTGGACAAAATTCTCGCAAGAGGTCTGTTTGAAATTCCCCAGAACGTCAAAATCGATTCCAGATCCTTGATTTCTGTCGGGCTTTTCAGAACGGAATCCGAAGACGATATTTTTGCCATTTCGTTTCCCGTCAAACGCGCGATTCTCTCTCGTTTCACGACTTGGAAGGTCCAGCTCTCGTGTGGCCATCTCGTGTGAGCATCTCGTGTGGCCACCAGAAATTGCAGATGTCAATCTCCAACGAAAAAATACTGTGCAAGCGTTTAAACTTCAAGCGACTTTTGACTTTCATAATTTGCAAGATGTATATTTTTCTTCTGACAATTTGATTTTGTACTTTTTTTTTAATTTGTAGTTAAATGTGTGATCATGTGGTCTCTCGCTCTAAGTTCTAAATGAGTTCGAGAGGAATTGCGACACGAAAAGGACAAAATATATGCAACTGGGGATTTCCGCCAAAAAAAAAGTAAAAGGGGTTCCGGGAAAGAGAAAACACCTGTGACCTGATCTCAACGAAAGTTTCTCGTGGTTTCTGCAGGAATCGTCGAGCCAGATGCAAATTCAGAGCAAGATTCAATTTGCTATTATTGGCGAATGGTGAACGTTGTTAACTTTGTGTACACCGAGGCTCTATGCAAATTAAGAGCAACGGAACCCTGTAAACGGGAATCCGTTGCTTTGGTTCGCCATATTCCATATGTTTTATATTTATTTATTCATTATTTTTTTTTAGCCGTTTTTGAGAGGTGCAACTCCAATTCGTTATGATTCGGGACGAAAATTGGCGGAAAGGAGATTTATATCAAGGGTGCAAAGCTGCTCATTGCTGCTAACTTGCTTCATGCTCATTAATTATGCGACATTAATCCATGTGCCTTATTGCCATACCGGAGAATTAACCACTCGGTCAGCTGCAGAGCAGCCAGTCTCACTCTCCAGGAGAATAATGAGGGATTCGATGGGAATTTTTGGAATTCATCCGAAATGGTAAATGGAGAGATGACTCTCAAGTACATCAACTCCAATTCAAGCGTGGCGCGAGGGTCAGATTTTTATTACTAAGCCCTAGAACTACCAACCAGCGATAAAATCGACGTTGGTTGGTCGCCGTGCTGCTTCTGGCAGTTCTAGGGTTAAGAGTTTTGGGTATGCTATTCACTAGGGATGTCAGTTCGATTAGATTGATCGACCGATTGATCGATTTAGGTATTTATCGCAATAAAAAAAATGAACCTAAATTAATCTAATTTTAATCGACACCCCAATCTCCCCTTTCCAATCTCTCCAATGCCTCTTTTCCCCCTCATGATTTGACTGTGTAGTTCATAGTTTTGCAAAACAACCGAAAACGAATGATTTATCACGGGAATGGTTTGTAATGATGGCTCATAGGAAATAGTCGTTTTCGCACTGCTAAAAAATGACACTATTTTTTTAGTACAAAAATTAAGCCATCGCTCACAGAATATTCCGAAAAGAAGCTTGCTGACCCATTCGCATCCACGAGCGAACTGACTCGCACCCTATGTCCTTCCGCCTTTTAAAGGTAAGAGCCTTGCAGACCTCGCTTGTCTACGGTAGCAGCGGCCTAGGGCGAAGCGGCTGAAGTCATTGGATGCGGATGGGGAAAAGAAAGTCGTAATGAAGAAGCTGCCAGGGAAAGTACAGAAGGAAGTCGGGCAAGGACATGGGACAGGAGAGGCAGGAAAGAGGTAGTGAGTACTGCGTAGTGCGAGGCGTACGAGTGCACCGACGGTCTACGGGAGCCCCCATGAAGTAACCGGGAGTGGGGGAAAGCCGGGGCAAGCGAGAGAAGTGGAAAAGAAAGTGTGAAACCCTCTCCTGTTCCTAACTTGCTCCTGTATTTTTTGCTCTTCCATCCTGTTACCCGTGAGTCGATAATGAATCTTAAAATCTCCGCGTAATGAAGTACCCCAATCATTTAAGTTACAGGTGTGGGTTGGCTAAATGGCAAAGGGCCTCATTGCCCTTCTTTGCTTGCGTTTCATTATTTATCTGGCTCATTTGTAATTATTCTCTTTCCGATCGGAATATGCCACATGTAGGTTGAAGCGACTGCATCGCCTCGAGTCACTTCCTGAGGCTCGCCTTGGTGTTGGGCATGACACAAGCAGAATCATGCCCGACGCCTCGAACATGATTCAAGGAAGAACTAAGGGATCGATTAAAATTCTATTAACCGACCGATTAATTGATTACATTTTTTCAATCGATCGACAGCCCTACTATTTACCTACAAATCGGTCCATTACAACCCACTGATAATTCGTAGAACTTCTGCAACGCTCTTACACTATTTTCGGATCGAATTAGGCCTAATCCTCTCCCCCTCCGATACTGTGGATCAAAGGAAGCGCTATTTCCGGAGCTTGCGGATGGCCCTGCCTGCAATCGATGGAAGAGTTCCTGTGGGAATGGGGGAGGGGGGGAGGGGGGGTGCGAATTCATTCCGTAAAATGTTCTCTGCTGAAAGGTTCCTACGCGACATGATCCAGAATCCTCGAATCTTTAGGGCGAGTCAATTAAATGAAAGCAATTAGGAGAGCATTTTGAAAGGACGTTCAAGGAAGTAAAAAAATATAGACAGCTTTTTCATAACCAGGAAGTCTTTCCTGCTTTCTAAATTCTGCTGCTTGAATGAGCGCGGATGCGTAGAACAGCGGGCCGGTAGACCGTCCCGCGGGCCAGTAGACATTCCCGCGGGACGTACAATCGACCCGCGGACCTGTGGGACCGCACATGTCACATGGCACACAGGAAGAGTCACCAGTTTGGCCTGTGTGACTTCGGTGCATTGCGTCGGGGTCTGGTATCTATGACCTTCACTTTTTGCTTACGTTTGCGATCGTGGGTTAAGGGCGTGCAGTCTCCAAGAGGCCGATCATTCTCTTGGATTTTGCCCCATCACGAATTCTTCCACGTCTAGGCCTGTTGCAGACCTAGTCAATTTCGGCTTTCATTCCTTCTATGTATTAGTTACAAGAGACTCTGGATAGGGCTTTTTTTAATTTTTATCTATTTAGAATGAATGCATAACCTGGGGGCTGAAAGGATTAAAACTTTGTTTCCTATGCAAAGATTGCTGACCTAGACCTCTAACATTCTCATGAAATCTTGCAGTTTGGGTTCCCATTTCAGTAGAGATTGGCCTTCAGTAGGCCTGTATAAGGGGAAAGCCTGATGGTAATTTCCTTGAACTATTTCAAGTGGTTTCAGCTCACCAAGAACTGGCTGTAGCCTAACCTGCATAGGCCTAGGCTAGGCCCGCTAGAAACCACATGTTCCATGGACTAAAGTGACTGGATTATTTCCAGCAAGAACCAAAACGTCTGTAATTTTAACTCAGTCATTTTGCTGGCTCAAAATCTGGGACACCAGAGAGCAGGTAAGAATGTCTTGATCAGCTACTTCTAATCTATGTTGAAGGCCCAGGGGGAGAGGATTGCAGCTGAGCAAAGAACAAGGAACGGAGAATAGCAGCCAAGAAATTGTGTCTTCAGTTTTAAGTTGCTGGGCTTGAAAACCAAAAAAAAAAAATGCCTTCCAAACAAGGATAGAACCTCAAAAACCAGTACTGCTATGGTAAGACCAGGACATCTGGTGACCTCATCATTGAATTTTCTTACTTGCTGGAGTGCTGGCAAGGCTTTGAGATCTACTGTTTCAGGTCTATAGATAAAGCTTTAAATGTTTTGCAACTTCTAGCATTTCCTTGGTCACTTCCAATACCTTCTTGTAATCATGGGCCTATTAGGGTAGATGCAGCTAAATGTGATAGGCATCCATCAAGCATACTACAATTGGTACATACCTGCATGGATACATGAAAATAATTCAGTTTCATAATTTGAGTATTCAGGGAGTGTTTTTAGTGCTGCCTACACATAATTCATTGGGAAAATGTTTTCCATGCAAGCTTTTTTTTACAATTAATTTACTGCTTTGAAGTGTATTAGCATGAAATCCTTAATGTGTGGCATAGGCACAAGAACAAGAAGCTGGACTCAAAAAATGAGAATTAGATTAAATGCTATTGTAAGAAAATGAATTGAAGAATTAAGATCTTCCCCCAAGTCTTTTCATGTATTCTGATGAGATTCTGGAATATGACTGGGGTGTTAGCATTCACACGAGAAAAAAAATTGTACTCCTGCAGAGTACAGTTCCGCTGTAGACTGCAGAGCTGATGTTTGCATTTCCTATAATGAAGTCATCACCATCTGGTCATTATAACTAACTCATTGGTTGACAGGATGTTTTGTTATGGTCAGTCAGCCAGGTCTGCTGAGTTAACTACAGACAGTAGCAACTGGTCAGATGACTTGATTCTGTTAAAATTATTTTCAGTCTTTTCAGGTTGAAAGTGAGCATCATGAATTACTTGTAGGCAACTAAGTATTGCCTTGCTTTTTGGATTGTACAGCTCTGACTCCAGATTGATCAGAACACTGATCTGAAAATATGGTGTTTGAATCCATTGTGGTGGACCTTCTGAACAAATTCCTTGGGGATTATGTTCAAAATTTGGATTCATCCCAGTTGAACCTGAGCATATGGAAAGGGAATGTGACTCTGAAGGACCTCACTTTAAAGGAAAGTGCTTTGCAAGAGTTGAATCTTCCCATCAGGACTATTTCTGGATCTCTAGGTGAGATGTATGAGGTTTTTCTTGAATTCTTTTGCCCTTTTTTTTATAACTAGATTGTGATTGTGAGCAAGCAGATTTCATGGTGTTGGCTAGGCGGTTGATGGATATGCTCATGCAAAAATGTCTTATCTTTCAGAGGGTTAGAGATATCTTATCTTATTTGAACACTGAATGCAACAAGTCTTGTGGCAAAAAAAGTCTCTTGATTTCCTTAACCAAATCTAGAACATTGCACCTGTATATTTATTTTTTTCTTCTATCTTGCACAGAGTGAGATAATTGCACCTAGCTTATCAAAGGAAAGGCATTGGTCTCAGAAAATTTAGTGATTTGAAAGAGCATATTTTAATAATGTTTTAGTGGTCTACTAAAGCATAGTTTACAGCTTTCTTGCTTTTAAGAGTGCATTTTTATAATGCCCTACTCTTATAAGGATGAGCATGGCCCTCTCACCACAATATCAATCAGCCAGTTCTCTGAAAGTGCTGAAAGTGGAAGGAAGCACTTATGGAATTAGTTTCGGAGCTGATTTTTTCAACAAGCAACTGCAGTTTTCCCTAAATTTGCAGCTACTTATTTGGTCCTTATAATTTTTTTGAAGGGAAAATTAATTATAATATCATGCCCCATCAGACTTGTTAAAATTCCAATGGGGGGAATAGCTCTCAATTATCTCAGCATCTTTGAGTAGGAACTTACCTAAGGTTGAAGCTGTTAAAACTAACTGAAAAAAAATATTTCAAAGATCATATCAATTTTACATTCAAAGCTTGTTTAAGTACTTTCAGAGCATAAAGTGCATGTATTTAGGTAGTTTTCTGTGCAAAAAAGTTTTCCCTAGATATTATGCCTTGAACCAATTGATAAGCTTGCTCTTCTGTTACCTTTCAGGGAAGCTGATTTTAAGCATCCCATGGACAAATCTGTACAATGCACCTGTCATTGCACAAATTGAACAGCTTCACCTTTTGGCAGCACCCAAGAGTGTGAAGTATGATGCTGCCAAAGAAGAGAAGTACCAACAAGAGGTGAAGGAGAAGATCCTCCATCAGATTGAAGCAGCACGGCTGAGGAAAATCTCACAGCCTGGTGGGTCCCATCTTTTGAAATCAATCCTCCATGGGTTTCACTGTCATATTACCAATGAACACAAAAATAGAAAGAAGAAAACATTGAAATGATTACTTCTTTGAACAACCAATTGACAAATATCTTCAAAAATAGACTTATTCTGGTTTTTCCATGTAACCTACTTTGCTACACTTCCTGTTTCTCTCAGATGGGTTTCAGCCATTTTAAAAATCTCCAAGTATTGCTTTTGTTGCTGAGTTTCTTCTGTTGCCTTCTGTGTATTAAAAAAATTAGTTGCAGTCTTGTATATTTGTCTGTCTCCTTTACATTGTATTTCTCTTCTTCCCCTTCCCCTTTTCCCTTCTTTATTTTTTTTCCTGATTTTTTTAGTTCCCCTTCATTTTTCCTTTTTTTTTCTTTTTTTTTTGGGTAGTTTATTCCAGATTCATCAAAGTTGACATTCTGTTTTCCAGTCAGGTTAAATCAATTCTCTCATTTTGGTCCATTTTGATAGAACAGTTTTTTTTAGTTTTGTATCTAGGTATCATCCTTCCTGCTCCTGAGGGTAAGTTCCTTTAGATCCAATTAAATAAATGGATTTCAACATTTTTAACATCTCCACATGGTAATTATGATTGCATTTTTCAATGGAAGTGAAAATGTTGACCTTTTACAAAAAGTAGTTTTGGCGTCCTTTATATGAAGGTGTTCCAAATGTCTTCTACTCCACAATTTTTTTATTTGCACTGTGATTATGACCGACTCAGTTCCTTTGGACGTGTTACAGATTCTTCCACTCAGTCCAAAGACCAAGCAACCTTTGTGGAGAGGCTGTCCTTCCAGATCATCAAAAATATCCAGGTGAAGATTAGGTCTATCCACATCCGCTATGAAGACACCGTCTCTCACCCGGGAAACCCCTTCTGCATGGGAGTGACGCTGGAAAATCTGTCTCTGGAATCAACTAATTCCAACTGGGAAATTGGCATTGCCTCAGAATCTACTAAATTCATCCACAAGGTCTGAAAGTGATGCCAGCACCAGTGTCAATTATCATTTCAGTTTGGCCAATGTTATGAGTAGACCTAGCTAACATGAAATCCAGGTTTTCACTGTTGTTACTATGGTTTGTCAGTCTTAGGTATTTGTTAATGTTAGCCATGGCAATTTATGAATCCAAAATTAGCTCCTTTCAGTATTGAATATAATGGGATACTTGAATTTAATTGAAGTTGAATGTTTTGCTTCAGAGGTGTGAAACTTTATTTCTGAGACTATTATTACTTTTGCTTTTGTTTGTTTTATATGAAAATTCCTGGTCATAGAAGTGATTTTGTGCAATTTACTTTGGCCATTTCTTTTTTAAGTGAGGAAAGTTGTGCTAAACACATCTTGAACCTGAAGAATCACTTCCTTTTTTTATTATCTTTAATTCTGAGCTGGCCTGTGGTATTGTTTGTGAAACCAGGTTAATTCATCTTATGTTTCTTTCCCAAATGCAATTGCAGTTGATGAAGCTGGACTCTCTAGCCTTCTACTTCCAAGACAATTGTCATCAGTACAACATGATGGAAGAGCAATGGATCAAGGGGCAGATGATGGAAGATATTGCCACCAAGGATAAGCAGCCTTTCATGGATGCTTACTGTGAGCTGGTTAATTTTTGAGCTGGTTGCTATGAGATACATGATTTTAACTTAATATTTTCTCAATTTATTGACTCAGCCAATAAATCCTTAAATTCACTTGAACAAATAACTGTGTAAAACTGTTGATCTCTGCCCTTGCTTAACTACCTAAATCTTTCAAAGGGAATGCAATTGTATTTTAATTATATCAAGAGGTCATCTGATTAACATTATATCGCCACGACTCTAAAGTGGTCTTCATGATTAATTTGCTTCTATCTTAGCAGCCAGAGGAACATTGGGCACCTAGCCACAATATTTTCTGATACCTACCTAAATAGAACCTACTCTCTAAACACCTAATAAACGTAAATTTAACAAAGTGGTCTCCTTATCGGAATCCGACTATCGAGGTAATTCCATTAACTTAAACGTATGGAGTCTCAGAAATAGATCCTTGTTTAGTTTTGATCATCATTCTCTGCTAATGTTTCTCTCTTTGAATTCTGCTCTTCCCTGAAAACCTGCAAATTTTCTTATATGCAGTGCTGAAGCCCATCAACTCAACAGCCAGGCTACAGCTGAATCCCAAGCCTGAGTTTGATGGGAGTGACTATACAATCCCCAAGGTCCTCCTCCATCTGTACTAGCTTCTCTAACCGAATTACCACAAGTTCGCTGTCATGGTTCTGAAGGAGAAAGAGGACCTACCTGAGTCGGCAGAGGTCGCCCCGGACGGTATGACGGCGAAGGCGGGTCTACAAGGTAGACACAAAGGCTATGCAAAGGAATGGTGAGAGGCTATGGAACCAAATCTGTGATTGGTTTGCTTAAGAAGGTGCTTTCTTTTCTGAACATTGCATTTCTGATGGGGATCAACCTCTTCCTTTTGAAGTTCATCTATGAATTGCCTACATCTGATAGTTGTGTTACCATCTCTGAGAGCATATCCATGAAAACTGAGTGAGACACCAGAGGTAGGCCAAGACTATCCATGTTTAAGAAGTACAGTGTAATGGACTTGAAACATGATGGAAGGGTCCCAGTTAACTGGTTTCCTTTTGCTCCATCTTGTTCTGATTCATTCATGACTTGAGTCAAAGGGTGACAATGGAACAATTCCTAATGGATACCATTCCTCTAAGTGTCTTGTCTGTTGAGCCCTCAACTTGTGGTTTTTCCTCTGAGGACTCAGTTTTTCAAAAGTTTTCTAGCCCTAGGGATGCAAAAAAATCTTATTGTAAATTGGGCATGGCAGATAGTATTCAGAACTTGTTATTTCTTTTCATTCAAGAATTGAGGGATAGAGTTATGAAAAGAAGCCTAAAAAAAAACAAGCTGGGCAAGACAAGTCTAGTAGAGAGTCCCATTTAAGTAGGAAGAGCACCTTATTTAACAATTAAGAGCATATAAGTTTCAACCACCAGAATTCCTTTCTTGATAAAATGTAAGTATATAAATCACCTTTGATCTGATGGGATTCCAAGTTCAGTTCTGAAAGTACTGATGAAAATCATTTTCTGTAGGTGGCAGTTTGCAATCCAAAGTGTCCTCTATCGAATCCACAAGCGGGAAGAGTCTTTCACCTGGGCCCACATATCTGCTCACCGCCGAAGGTGTCGTGCATATCGGAATGCATATTGCAAGGTGCTGACTGTGAAGAAGCCCTCTGCTGAGCTCTTGGCTGAGGTTGCTAAATTGGAGAGGGAATTGGATGTATTCAACATCAGCCTCCTGAGACGTTCTGCTGAGATGGAGGTATCTCTTCTATTTTTTTTTCACCTGAAAAGACCTGTAATTTGATGCAAAATTGATAGTCACCTGACAGGAAAAGTAATAGTAGGATCCCTGGCACATGCTCCTCAAATAAGATGTTCAGAACAGCCTATTGCTTGAATTTCAATTATACACTGTGTAGGGGAGAAAAATAATGATAAGAAAGGAACTGCAATAGGGAATATTAGGACAATCTTATCATTAAAAACATGGGATCCAGAAGAAACTATGGATCATGAGGGCTCTTCCCTTTCATAACATGCAATCAAATTAAGAAAAATCGATACCAGATTATGTCATTTTACTACTTCATGCCATTAATTTTTAAGCACTATATTATGACCAAAAATGTTTCTTTATTATTCTAAATGTAAGATATTTTAATGCAAGACCTTATGGAGAATATTGTGATTGGTATGTCTTTAGAAGGGCAATTACTGCCATCAATTAGAACTGAATGCAGGAAAGCATGCTCCAGTGACAGCTAATAACTACTCTACTAATTCCTTTCATCTTGAGCTTTCATTTCCCTTTATTTGTTGAAAAAATTGTTCTTAATTGCCACAACCTTTCTAACAAAGTCCTTTTCTCAGAATGGAGTGAATCTAATTTCTATGCAGCTATTGTGCCATGGTTCCTATAATGTAGAAGCAAGAGTTCTCAAGAATGGAGAACATTTTTTTGACCTACATTCAAATTTCTTTTTCTTGGTTGAGTTTCATGTGTTTTCATGCTTTTCCAGACAGAGAAAATTCAAAAAGAAATGGAGGAAAAGAAGAAGAAAAAACCTCAGGGATGGTTTGGCTGGATGTGGGGTGGAGGTGGAGGAGAGCAACAGCCTCAGTCCACTGAGGACTATTGTGAGCAGAAATGCCTAATAAGCATAAGCAAAATAATTAAACATTTATAAGTTGAGCATAAGAGGAGTAAATACTACTAAGAATCAAAATATTTTTAAAAGAAATACGTCTTACATGAAATTGTATCTGTTTACCCCTTTCTGTGACTAATTTTTGTGCAATGGAAAATTATTAAATATATGTACAAATGAAAAATTTTGTGTGAAAATGAAAATAGAATGGTATTCCTAACTCCCAGCTTTTGAACAATATGAATGAAAAAAATTTAATTTTTGTATGGATAATTTTATAATTACAGTAATTTTAGTAGAACATTAGTAATAGGACAAGGTATGTCCCAGGGTCAGTGAAAGGGTTAACTTTGCTCCATTTTTCAAGTTTCAGTATCAAATTTTTAACACCTGTGCATAATGGATAATTGCTTTCTTCATAAGCATGAATGACTAGTCTTCTCTGAATATCTTCCAAAAAGTCTTTATTATTAATACATGTGAAGAAGAAATACTTATCATTAAATTTTGTTGCCTTACAGCACGACGATTAGCTGAGGCCATGACAAGTGAGGAGAAGGCCAAGCTCTATGAGGCAATAGGCTATGAAGAAGGAATGACGGTTGCAGAATACCCTGCCTCCTATGTGGAAAGGAAGATTGAGATCCGCCTTGGTGAAGCACAGTTCAGCATTCAGGACAATGATCAGCCTGTCAAGCTTATTTCCAAATTCTGCTTTTGTAACGTTGTCCTGGGATTAGAACAGCGACCTTCTGCTGATGGTCTACAGTGAGTTCTTTTCATTTTTCTTTAATTGTTCCTCATCAGTAATCTGAGAGAAGTAAAAAAATATTTGGATTTCATATGCATAGAGCTTCATAAAATGAAGTCCTGATGAAACTGAAGTATCTATTTTAAAAATATCCAATGACAGAACTATATATTTCTGTTTATTATGCATTGTATACACATTTCATGAGGGAGCAGAAAAGTCTGCTATTATTTCATAGGTTTTCCAGGTCACTTTCACTGCCATTCTCCTTTCTTTACTGACAAAACTGAGTGCACATTGGCTCCTGCTGTATTAGAACTTCCACCCTATCTTTGAGGAAAACTCCCATGTGTTCATGGCCATACTAATCTGATAGATTGCCAGGCTCTTTATAAATATCAAAGAAGTAAACTTCATTGAAATGAAGTAGTTGATGTGTGACAAGAGCTTTACAGGATGGGTTGTTGTAGGAATGACGAGTTCAGATGAGATTGTTTCATAAATATGTTTGCCATCCCACCTCTCTCATGGCAATGGTCCCTCTTGTCAATCTCATCTAGTGTTTCCTAAGATCATTTTGTCAGGTTTTGGACTCTTGTGAACAAAAAAATTTATTATGACTGTCAAATGCAAAAAGTTCTAATTACATGGACAATTGATGAATCACTGGTAATGTTTTTGTGTTAAAGATTACATTCATGGCTTAGAGATATTCATGCAATTGACAAAAACATGAAAAAAGTGAGAGCACAAACATAGACAGGCTATCTGGCAAGGCTTCATGATGGAATTTCCATGTAATTGGTTCTGCATATATGCTATGTGTTTTTGCTATGAAAGTGGGGGAACTATCATTTTTTGGAACCCTTGATATGAAGCTGTTCTGTTCATTTGTTGGAGGGGGGAGGGGTTTTGATAAAAACTTAGTTTTTTCGGAATACATTACGACTCAGTTTAACGTGGAATATGAAAAGATTCTATTGGCCTAGATATGGAAGTGGAATTGGCTATGATTCAACTTCTGGACCATGTTTGAAAATGATTTGGAATGCTTAAGAAAAGGTGTTAGAATTGAATCCCGTTACCAAATGAAACAAGTCACAATTTAAGTACAGAATTTGATGTATGATTTGCCTCCACCATTACCAGGGTGGATTTCAACTGTACCAAGATGTTGGCAGTGGGCTGGGCCAGAAGCTCTATGGAGCCACCAATGCTCATCCAGGACCAAGTCTACTACTACATCCAGGCCTCTGCTGAGCCCTTGGAAGTCATATTTGACTCCCCCACTGTGACCCAGTTGCTGGATGTCTTCCAGACTCCTGCCAGTCTCGTCCTGGATGAGTTCGTTCATAAATTTTGTATTTTTATTGTATGCATGTTGGGTTTGTGTCTTTGTGTTATTGCTTCCATTTCTTTACACTCAGTGCCAAAATATGGCCTAATATAAACTCCCATAGAAATTGGAAGCCCATTTTAGAAGAAAACTGTATAGGTTTTTTATGAATGATATATGATGATGGGATGGGTTTTTGTCTTAGAAGAAAGCATGTCAGAGATGGTTGGCAGAAGCCAGTGGGATGACTCAGTAAGGGTTCAAGTGGTTTCATAGCCTCCTCACAATGGCCTGAGAAGCCTCATGTATACAGGGTGGTGTATGGCTTTCCTATTGCAATACACATATTTCAAAAGTTAGTAAAGTATTTACTCTGCACCCTCCTTTTGTAGCATCAAGAGTCTTCTGATGGGAGGGAATTTTGGGTGGTAAATTCACCTCCTTCTGGAAAAAAAACTCAAGTATTATTGTACTGCTGGCAGAAGCCACCTCTCCAACCTTCATTCCCCATTCTTCATTAAAGTCCATATTGTACATAAAATTTTTTTATTTTCAAACTGAACCACCCTTATTTTTGGCACTCAGGATAAGTGTGGCAGTGGCATGAACGTTGACTTTCCATCCCTGAATGATAGTATGATCCTATTGATTGACTCATAGTTGAGTGAGAAGCTTGTAATAAACATGGTAAAAACTAACCCCTGGAAGTTATTTTTTCTTGTACAAGTTTTTGTCTTAAGGAGTGAAATTGGGTAAGTTAAGAATGTCAATTCTGAAACATTATATTGCACATTCTATTCTGCAAATGTGCAGTAAGAGCAGGCATGCCAGGGGATGTAAAACCAACTCATTTGTGTACCTTACCATCTCTGAGATGGGTTCATGCAGAGGTCTGTTATAATCTTTAGAGTGGCTTGTTAGTCAACAGTATGGTAGTTAGGTGGCATGATACACCTTCTTTTAGGTTCTTGTAATCCATAGGTTTTTGAATTCATGACTTTGGTCGTATTTTTGTGTTGTAATTTATGATTGAAAATTCAATGCTGTATTTCTAAGCAACTCTTAAGAAAAAAAATGGAATGCAAATGGGTTAAAATTGTAACCTCTCCCAGTCAGTCTTCTAGTTCCTTTTTGAAGCACTATAGATTTCCTTGGAGAGAATGGCACTAATGCTACATTATTATTGTAAAATGGCTACAATGAACATGCTCAAATTTGACACTTTTTGGCATGTGGCTTCATTTATTAGCACCAAAGTTGCTGACATAAGTTGTATTCTTCAAGAATCCCCATTTATGCTGTAATGCTGCCAAAAAAATGCTGCATAGACTCAACATTATTTATACTACTTTGAGAGAGCTTCTGTTACTAGTGGACTTGAATATAGCAGTATTCATTTCCAAGGTAACAGGAAGGGTGGTTTTCTTTTTCATGTCCTGATTATCCTTGATGTTGATCTTGGATGCAAATTCCTTTGTTTCAAAATGACTCTATTGTAACTTTATAATTTAGGGAGTGTCTGAAGGCAGCATTGAGAGAGTGAAATTCAGTTAGGATTAAGTTTTTGAACCTTTTCTATTTTGAATTATTCTCATTTATATAACCTTGATGAGGTTCCTCCTGTCTCTCCTTCCCCAATTGCTTTCCCTCCATGATAGGTATATGAGCATTGTGCACAGTTATTTTGCAGCATTTAGGATAAAATGTAATTTCCTTTTCAGCATTCAAGCTGCAGCCCGTGGCACATTTGAAGAGATCAAGCACTATTCTCTGTCAGGGATGCAACAGACAATTAATCAGAGACCCATCATTGACATTGACATCCATCTCAAGCCCTCCCATCTGATCCTACCTGAACGTGGAGTGTTTTCTTCCAAGTTAGGATCATTTTCCTTCAAAAGCCTTTCCCCAAGCATGGAAACTGCTGTTACAGGTTCTTTTGTATCTTTTGGTTAATTAGGAGTCATGTTTTGGTGGTCAGTCTCGGAGCCCTAGACATGCGAACGATCCTCAGAGATCAAGAAGTTGCAAATGTAAATGCAATGCTTCAGTCTGGCTCCACCAAAGAAGAAGTCCTGTCTCACATGCTCAAGGAGAGTGTGGACAAGTTTGAGCTTAAGATTTCTCAGATTCAGGTTGGTCCAGCTCTAGCTAAAGAAATTTGTGCCCAGATATTTTTACTATTGCCTTTTCAAATGAGGTTTTGTTTTACAGGCCTTGGTTGCACTTGCATCAGAGAACTGGTTGGGAGCTCTTCATGGGGAATCACAAGACTTAGATTCCCCAAGTCCCCTGCACATCCTCCTTCCCATGCGCGTGGAAGTTGGGATCCACCTCTCCATCCGCTCGGCAGATGTCCGCCTTCCCAAGGCCAAGATCATGGTAAGCATTGTTTCCCAGTTGGATTGCACACTCAACTATTACTCATAATTTTATTAGACTCTTTCATTTTCCTTCATTTCATGTTTTCAGTTCAGACTTTTACATTTTCATTGGAATCAAAACAGTCATTTTTATTTGATCTATACCATCCTGGTTTTGATCTCAGAAATCAAAAGGGGGGATTGGAGTGCTTGCATGGCATATTCTAGTGCTGTACAGAAGCTTCATACTGAAGTGTACTTTGAGATTGAAGTATGGTCTTCATGCTAAGGTTTTCTGAACAAATACATGGTCTTCATGAATTATGTAGGGTCATGATTACTCCATCATATTCATCTCTTGATATGCTTGCCATAGGCAATTGTGATATTGCAAGTATGCACTGCACAGCAATGTAGCACATGTAAAGAAATTGAATAATCAGATTTGATGTTGGTGCCATATGCTTCATGAAGAGTCACATCTTTCTTTCAATAGGCAATTCATCTGTCTTCTTGAGGGACTGGTGTCTCCCACTTTGCATAATATTAGATTGTGAAAAACCTAGTATTTTGCAGCAAAATGCAAATCCACTAGTTTCAGCACTAGTGCAAAGCTAGTTCTAGCAGATCATGTAGTTGAAGCCTAAGTCTTAGCTGTTGATATTTGCTTTAATTTTGCAATGAAGGTTCACCTGCCAAGAGTGGGGGTGACATTGACCCACAAGAAGCTGATGACCACCCTGCGCCTTCTCCTCACAATGGAATGGGGCCAAACTTCTTCCACAAAACTCTCTGTGCCTGCAGTGACAGGAGTTGAAAAGAAGTCCATTCTCTCTGCTGATGTCATGACTGAATCTGTCATTCATACAACAGATGTAAGTTTTGTTTTGTTCCTTTGTTCCCAGTATGCATGAAGTTTTCCCTCCTTTCATGTATAGTGTATCTATATGGTAGATTGGGAAGTTCTGGCTGTTTCGAGAATTTTCCAGGAAAGAAAATTTCTGGAACTTTCTCGAACCTTCCACTGTAGCAGTATATAAAGGGTGTATGGGTGTGATTACACAGCAGTTGCTTAGTCGTTCAAAGCCTATAACCATGACTTCCAAAATCGACTTTAACAAGACTGCCCCACATCATTCTTTATGACTTCGTATCTGGCATCACAGCAGCCAAATTGAGTCGGCGCATCTGCGCCGAGTTTGGCCAAGGTATAGTTTAAGAAAGGACAGCGTGACGATGGTTTGATCATTTCTGGTCTGGAAATTACAGCCTTGAGGATGAGCCCAGGTCAGGCCACCCATCTAAAATCGACAATGAGCAGTTGCAGCACACGATGGAAGCCGATCTGAAGCAAAGTACCCATGACTTAGCGAAAGCACTTGGCTGTGCCCAGTCCATGATCACGATGCACCTGGCTGCAATCAGCAAGAAGAGCAAGTTTGGTCAGTGGGTACCCCACGATCCGACCAACTGCGACCGTGAACGCTGTGCTGAGGTGTGCACTTCGCTGCTGTTGCACGAGTGCACTAATGACTGGCTGGATTCCATAGTCACTGGAAATGAAAAGTGGAAGTTGTATGTCAACTACCGACACAGGTGCCAGTGGGTCGATGCTGATGCCAAGCCGGAGCCGGAGCCGAAAGGTGACCTGCATCCCTGAAAAGTCATGTTGTGCATTTGGTGGAACATGCAAGGTGTGATCGACTTCGAGCTGCTCCCACCCGATACCTGCATCACCACCGCCCACTACTGCGATCAGCTGCAGAAGCTCGCCGACAAACTCTGCATGGTGAGGCCAGGGCACCATCATGTTCGATTCCTGCAAGACGACACAAGGCTGCATGTTGCAAAGACCACACGGCAGAAACTGCTGGATCTTTGCTGGGAGGTTCTGCCGCACCCTCTGTATTGCCCAGATCTGGCGCCAACTGACTACCATCTCTTCTGCGCTCTGGACGACCATCTTTGCCAGAAAAGGTTCTACAATGACGCCGAGGTCGAAAACTGGCTGACTGATTTTTTCGACTCACAGCCAGCTCAGTTCTACAGGGATGGAATCAGGAGTCTGCCTGATCATAGGCAGAAGGCGATTGACTGTGATGGTGATTACATTGTTGAATGAACTTTTTTGCTTTTTTAAAAAACTTGGTTGTATGCAATGTTCTTGAAATGGCCAGAACTTTCCTATCGACCCAATAGCTGACTACTTTTTTGGAACTGGAATACATGAAAGTGAGGTTGCTTTGGATTATGCAGTATTTCCAAGCCCTCTTATATGTTTTATTGCATGGCACATTGTTGTCCTCTTTGTTTAAAATCTCATCAATTGGCATTAAAATTGTCTGTAGAAATCTAAGAATAGAGATTGCTGCAGGCACAGTTATTATTCATCCTTTTTCAGAATAGTATTCTTTCTGGTTAAAATTCTTTTTACAATAAGCTATGGATAGAACACGTATTGTTTTATTTCCATCCTCTTGCATGTTGTCCATGCATTTCAGTTAATATGGAGAGTTCACCTATTCTTGTGCAACTCTTTTGAAATTCTGAGCTTTTCTTAGTGGAATTGTAAGGATTATCTCTCATAATGCAAAAAAAAACCTCCAACTAGCTCAAGTAGTGGCATAATGAGTTGTTTGCTGTTAATTGCTTTTTCTGCTTGAAGAATCTGGGAACTTGTTCTTATCTGAAGATGATCATAATGACATTTCATTCCCATGTGTTTTCTCTTTTGATTGAGCTCCACTTTTTGACAAGGGAGGCTTTGAACAGAATTTAGATAAAAACACTTTTTCACATATCTATCATTGACAATATGTACAAGAGAGGTTTAGATTGAATGTATTCTTTTGCATAATGGGCCTTTTTGGGGGTAATATCTACTCAGTTTAATGGATTCTCATGTGAACCCATAAAAAAGTTAAATATGTTCAAATTAAATATGGTGCATGTCACTCATTGGAGACTGACATGGAGATATGGAATTCTATTCACTTATGCTTCTGCAGATCCTGAACCTGAATGACAACATCTTCAAACTTCCAGCTCCTTTGACTGTGGAGGAAGAGATTGGGAAGGTGCAGTTCACTTCTTTGCAGGTTGAAGCCAAGATTGAAGGTCAGCTTCTCACTTTCTTCTTCTTTCCCTCTATGAGTTGAGTATTTTAATGTGTTTTTTTTTTTTTTACTGGTTAATTGAGAGTTAATTGAGTTCTTGCAAAAATACCATTTCACTCTGTGGGTCTGTCACATAAATTAGTGATGTTATGGAAGGGATTGAGGGAATCAAGTAAATTAGAATGATAATGATTTTTATTCTGCTTCTCTTTGTTCTTGTCAGCACTTCATCCAAATTCAAAAGAAAAATGAACTTGCTTGAGAATGTTCTGGATGATTAGGCAGACATCTCTTTGTGATGTATACCTGCATTGGAGAATTCATGATGCAAACTGCTGTGTTCCTTGTTTTCTTGAGGCTGAGTTGACATCATGCACCTTATAGTTCACAATTTTTATCGATTCTAGTCTATGGTAATATTATGAGATTATTTTTCAGTTTATACCTCACATTTTAAGGAAAAAACATGGATGTGTACTTCATAGTTGAACAATTCAACTGCATTAAAGGTAACCTTGCACTCTATTTCCAATATCAGGAAAATATGAAAAAAGTATGAGATTTATTTTAGACTGCTTAGAAGGCCTGCACAGTAAAGGAATGTTACAATTTTCATACTCTCATGTTATGTCATGTCCTGATGGGTGTAGAGATCAGCATGCGACTGGAGGAGACAAGCTTTTCGTACCTGCCCCCCCTGCACTTTCTCATCAAGGATGTGGGGGCATCAGTGATTAAGAGGGAGACAGACATGGTCCTCACATTCAACCTTGGAGGGCTCCTGTTTGAGAGTCTTGGCTCCTCCCAGGTCACAATCCTCCAGACCAGTCTGAAGTCTGGCATGGAGAAGGATGGGCTCTTCAACCTCCAATACCTAATGGTCTGTGGCAGAATGATATTACTTCTTAAGGGATATGGGAATAGGGTGAAAAGGATGAACATTTATTTCCAAAGCTGTCAAATACACAGTTATGAGATTTTCCTCTACTCTCTATAATGAACAGTAATTTAAACTTTATTCTGGTTTGTATTCTGTGGAATACTTTCTGTAGGTGTGAATTAGCATGAAAAAATTACCCAATATGATTCTTTTATGATTTCTCAGAATTTTCCCCATATTTGCAAAGTAGCTAGGGTAAGGAATATAAATGTAACCCCCCAAAATTTTAGCTTATCGATCAAAAGACAATCAGCACAGCAGTTTCTGTTGTTATCCTATGAATGAACAAGGGGCTGTGACATATATTTCTTTTTTTCATCTGAGGTGGTTGTTGTGTTTTATGAGACACAATTGAAACTTGGTGAATGTCTCACTGCACCTCGCTGTCACGAGTGACAGTAAGTGCCACTCGGGTCCTGTTAACCCTTCCATGCTGAATTAAGAAAACGAATAACTAGGAAATTTTTTCACCACTTTTTCTATTGAACAGGCCTAGCTAAAGACAGAGCTTGTAGAAAATGTCAAATATTCACTAATTCATTCAAAAGTGGAATTTTTAAATTACAAAATTCATTAACCGAAAATATTGAATAATAGGCCATTGTTCACACATGGGGAGCCCCTAAAACTTGGCCTTGTCCTAATTTTATCTATCCATTCTTGTAGCATGCAGGCATATTTTTCCCTTTTCCAAAAAAAAAAATTCTTACTTTTTTTTTTCCAAAATTCCATTTCACGAAAATCAAACATATCAGGTCACAACTTTTCTTTTTGATCCAGCTTGCCTGAACTACAACCTATTTGAATGAATGATGCATCACCAAAGAGCCCTTTTCAAGAGCTATTAAGTGGTACCATATAAAACAAGTTTTGTTCAATGGTAACCGCAAGAGCATTGATATGACCAAAGAGCTTCAGAATCTGATTCAATTCAACCCTCAAGACACAAAAGTGATGAAGCTATAGGCTAAGTAATTTATGTCATCAGTTGGTTTTGAATGAAGCTTTAAATTTCTGTAAAAAAAAAAACAAAAAAAAAACAATCTCAGTAAACCCTGTATCCTGAAGTATTCACTCCCTCCTTATCTATTCATGTTCTTTAAAATGAAGGACTAGTTCTTGTTTGGTGCTGAATTTTTCTGTATCCAGCCTCTCACTTATTCAGCAATTCAAAAAATGTCATGCAGTGCATGTATTTTGAATGATTTAAATGCCTTTACCTTGGTTTTGTTTTCTATCTCCTACCATTACATTTGGTAAGATGGTTCACTGTGACCTGTCCTCCTTTTTTTCTTCATTATAACACCTGTAAGCTGCAGTTAGTTAATTTAAAGGAAATGACATGAAGAAAGATCATATCATAGAGCATATGAATCAACTAGCTCAAAGGACATTAAGTGGAATTCTCATGCAAGATGTCAGCTACCACCCTAGCCTGAGGTGATAGACAGAGGTTTTATTTCATGGATATGTGAGACTTGTTACCTGAATGATCTTATTATGAAAAAATAATTGCAAAATTAATGAGAACAATGCTGTGTTTGACCTCCAGGCAGATGAGAAGAGTCCTCAATTTGAGGAGATGTACAAGTCCATAGCACAGCGGATCAACATGAAAGTGTCCTCCCTGGACATAGTGCTCCAGAAGGCTCTCTGCTTGGCCATGATGAAATATGGCAATGATGTCTTTGAGGAACTGAAGCCCCTGATGACTAAGAGGGCTGGGTCAGAACATGACCTCCATCAGACTGAGACTGGGATGCACAGGCATGCTTCCTCCCTCTTTCTTCACCAGATATCAAAGCCAAGAGGCTCTCCTAGACTGGGTAAGTTTCAGTATCTCTGTATTAGAAAGGCTTTTTTCCCCTCTGCAATCAGTGCAGTGCCAGTTTTTGCAAGAATATGGTTGTGTTTTACATGTATATTCTCACTTTAACTCAAAAATGTGTGCTGCACTTCACAGTACCATCAGTTTGGAATTGGAAGTACTGCATGAAATAGCTAGCTGTGTAAAATCTAATATTCTAGCTTGAGTTTTCACTAGACTGGCATTTATGAAATAATGTGTCTGTAATGGATGAGATTTGGCAGATTCAAAGGTGAGACTGGTCTTTGTTTCTTCTGTGCATGTTGCAAATGCACCATATTTCACTGGGATGTGTAACTGGGATGGGGAGTTTTCCCTATTAGTTTCTTAGTATAAGACATTTGCATGGCCAAAATTCCTATTTGGATGAGAAGCCTTTTTTACACTCCATGTAGATTTTTAGGAACAATATTACTTATGAATATTTTAGGAAAATTTGGAAAATATACTGCTTCAAAGAATGAACAGAGATTGCAAATAGTGGTATAAAAATTAGTGTGCATATGTGTGTGGAAAAACTGACATTTATCACTTCTTTCTGGCATTCATGGTTTTCATGTTATCTTGATGCACTTATGTCGTCATTAGTGCATTATCTTGCAGATCTTGTAATCCTTCCTTTGAGTAAGAAAGGGCTCCCCCTTGCTGTTCTCCATGTTTCCCTTTGTTCATCTGAATGTCAGCATGAAGCTCTTGTCACTAGGGGAAAATTTCAGTCCAGACCTCGCCAAATTTTTTATTTTAGCTCACAAATGTGCTTATCTTATCATTGTGACCAAATTTATGGAAAATTGATTTAATATGATAATACAAACCTTCATATTATCTCTCCTAGTGGTGAGAGGGCAAGAATGTCCTCCCTTAACATTATTAGCCAGTCACCTCACTCTACAAATTGTCTTCAGGAATTTTAGTTTCTTACTTTGTCTATTCTCTGTATTCCCCCCCATATTTTGCTTACATTGCTATATTTGAGAAGGCTGGCTAAAAAACTCACTTGGACTAGGCTTTGCCAAACTTGTTTTTTGCATTGTTTTTTTTCCCAATAGAAGAGGAGGATGATATGGTTATGAAGATTCAATGAAAATCATTGGTGCTTTCTCCTGTTTTCCCCCTTCTTCCCCTGGTCTTTGGAAATGTCCTCAGATTTTTCCTTAAAACTTCTGCACATGCTTGCTTTTTGAATTGCAGAGCGCTGCCAGAATTAAACCTTGTGCTGTTGAATATTGTAATAGCACCACTCTGATGAGGTGGAATGAATTAATGTTTCAGGAAGGAAGAAGCGTGATGTAATCCAGCTAAGGGTAGAGGCAAGCCTTGGACACCTGGGTCTGACGGTGTCAAGGACTCGGGGACCCCTGTGTGAGATCTCCATTGCAGGGCTTCGAGCTTCTTTCCAGATGACAGAGGAACACATGATTGTACAAGCCCAGATGAAGGACTTCCTCATGCTGGATCCCTCTCCCCATGCCCTCTACTCTAAGGTCTATACTCCTCATATGCTTTTTTTACTGATGTGAAGTAAGAAACAATAAAAAAAAGGCATTTACTCTACTTTCAGCCTCAGGTTGTTTAGGCCTGGTTTTGATGACCCAGGCTAAATTTCCTGATATCATTTGCATAAATCAGATCATTCACTGCCATGTTGTTTTTTCATCATTGTAACTTGGACTTTTATACAGTACTTTCTAGGATTACCTCATGAGGAGCATGATCTGACATTTGTATGATCTGTCTTAATTGCATTCAGAACATATTTTAAATTCTATGCTTCCTTCCACCACTTCATAACACTGAGGAGGCATCTTTGCTAGTTACATGAATTAAAGCCTACTACAGAAAGTAATTTTCTTTCAGATGGTTCATATAGTGGGAGATGATGCATTCAAGCTGTCAGTGCAGATGTTCTCTAATGCTGCCGGCAATCGTGCTTCGGATCCATCTGCTGTGGACATGGACATCAGGGGTAGCATAGGAGGAGTCCATGTTGTGTATCTCCACCAAACCATCATGGATATTCTTGTATGTCACATCCTTGTATGTCTCAGGGTTCTCACAGATGATGAAAGCTTGAAAATGCTGGAGAAAGGGAAATGGAATGTAAGAAATTCTGGAAAAATCTGAAAAAATGCTTCTGCTTCCTGAACTTGAGGAAATTTATGAAGTTTCATTGTCACGTGCTCAATTAGGAATGTAGAATGTGGATTGCATTCCATGAGAGGTTTAGTTATGTTTTAAAATACTATGTCAAGAAAGTAAATCCTGAATTGTCTGCAAAAGTCAAGTTTTTGGATTATCAAATTTTGTGCAGGACCCTGGCACAGTGAGTTTGTATGGCTGTGGCAAGACAATTTTTAGATTGGTAGCACTTCTATTTTGTGTAGGAGTTCATCAACCACTTCCAAGCAGCAAAAGATGCTGTTATTGAAGCTTCAGCTGCTGCAGCTGAAGCAGCAAGGGCTAATGTCACCAAGGCATACCAGCAGGCATTCTGCATTCGCTTTGCAGTTGACATGAAGGTATGTTCTCAAAATCATATCATACTAATATCTGTTCATAGTTTCCTATGACTGATTCTGATTGAATCATGATGTTCAGTGGTCATGATGATATGACCATTTTCTTTCTTCCTTTTGAGAATGGGACAGTTCTTCCAGTTTTATTTCTCTAATTTGGTCAGAAAGTATTTGGATTAGTTTTGTTGTCAAATTAAACTGCAATAATGATGCCTTGTATAGTTTGGATTATGTGAGACACAGGAGTTGGAGAAAAGTGTTTGCTCTGTATAATTATATATATATATATATATATATTTATATGTGTGTGTGTTGTGTTTGAAACATTCCCAGGCGCCTGTGATAGTGATACCAAGGAGTTACACTAGCAGAGAGGTCTTTTTGGCTGACATGGGTACTCTGAAGTTGGACAATCACTTTGAAGTGATTCCAAGCCAGTCAAAATCTAAGCCACCCCTTGTATTTGACCACCTCAACATCACTTTGAGGGACTTCAAGTTCTCCAGGTTAATTTTTGATTACTACTTATTACTCATTACAAACCAAAGGGAATTTTGAAACCAATTTTCTTCAAAGTCCTAGACATCAATTTCTTCAAAGTGCCTGATTCTGACTGATTTCCCATGCACAGACTTCGTAGAGGGATTTGCATGATTCTTATCCTGAACTTTGGAACAATCAGCATTGGACTGAAATCACCAACCTTGTCTTATGTCTGTCATTCATAAGTAACTTGGTCTTTTATTCTTCATTCTTGTTTCCTTGCAGGCAGTTGCTAAGTGAGGAATCCCTGGACATTCTGGCTGAGGTCCTTCTCATTGAACCTATCAGTTTCAAATTCCTTCTCAAGCGCAACCTCTCCCTTGGCTCGTACCTGCAGTACCCACAAAATGACATCTCAGCTAATCTTGGAAGCATCCGGGTTTGTGGCTTCATTATCTGTTGTGAATGGTTCTCTATTCCAGACATACATCTGAGCTCATTTGCACTTCATCTCTGTCTTGTATTATTCATAAATGGTGAGGGGAATTTTTTCTTCAGGTGTGTCTGAGTGAGGGAGACTACAAGTTCACACTGGCAGTGCTACAAGAGAATCTAGGGGGTGGAGCTCAGGGAAGCCGGAAAGAAGTGCCTGCAAGCCCATCATCTCCAGTTCCTGGTCATATCATGACTCAATCATTTCTGCCTGGCTCAATCTCTATTCCTTCTGCTGGATTTGGTGAGATTGCATGTCTTCCTTTAGATTAATTTAATTCTCTTGCCTAACATTGAAGCAAATACATAATTTCCTTCACCAAACTATGCTAATGATTTTAGACATTTCTGGTTAATAGATTGCTTTGATAAAAACTTCATCTTTTCTTGTAGCCCTGAAAGAAGAAAAACTTAGTGCAACAGCTCCAAGGGAAGAGCAGGATTATACGGCACTTCAGATTGGCATCCAGCTGGACTCAGTGGAACTAGTCTTGTACTCTGGGTCTTCCAATTTGGTAAGGAATGCTCAAGTATTCTAAATAACTTATTTTTATAATGGAATGAGTTGAAATGATCTGAATTGAAAGCAGGTAGGGCAGAAGTTAATGGCAGGTCAGAAGGTAGTGGAGCGAAACCCAAAGCAGAGCCTGGCCCGCTGTAGCCTCTCCATCTTGGCCTTGAATGCCAACATGTCATCCAATGGGGAAGTAGAGGCCAAGCTCGTCTTGGTGAACTGCATCATTGATGATGAACGCGGGACCCACTCGGGGATCACAAGGCTCATGGAACGCAAGGGCCCACTGACTAAGCTGGTGGATCAGATCATGATGGAGGAGGAGGGCAATAAAGGGAAGGGGTTAGAAGAGTCAAAAGCGAAAAAGGAAGAAAAAGGAATGGAAGAGAAGATACCCCTGGCTGATGTAAAGAAGCTGCAGAGTATGGTTGAATTCAAGCTGAAGCAAGATTGCATTGGGAACCTTGACAGTATGTTTGACTGCCACTTTTGGTTCTTATTACTATTAAGTTGACTTCCTGTTTTATATATTTCACTTCCCATTTCTTCTCCACAGACTTCTACTTCATACTATTTGGATAACATGTAATGGGTTAGATAGGAAGTACCCATCAGCTTATGGATCTAATCAGATTGATTGTTTCTAGAGTCCATAGTTATCACATATACCAATCTATTGCTGAGATAAAAAGCTGACTTGTATATGTATCAAGAATCAAGGACCCATAGCTAAATGGCTGCTCAAGTGAGCAGGAGTCAGTTAACTTGTAGCTTCTCATATTTTTGATTTCTTGTGTGTATCATTGCCAGGTTGATTCTTGTTAAAAACTCATTTCTCCTAAAAATGAAAAAAGGGAGATACATAGGCCTTGCTTTTTATACAAGAGTGTTAATATTCTCTGTTTTTTTTTCAATTTTCCTAGAATTTAGAAACTGAAAAGAGGATATCAATGCAACTTCCATTTGTGTGATTGATGTTTTGCACTGTATTTACTGACCTATGTCAGAGTTTGTGATACAAGGAAATTTCACATATCAGAACATGACTGCATTTTCACTTCAAAATATGCTTCAAGACCACAGGGAATGGATCATGCCCCTGATGTGATGTCATTATTTCACAGTTGAATGCAAGGTGTTCAGCTTCCTCTTGGTGTTTGATGTGGACTTCCTCATGGTGTTGAAGGACTTTGTGACTGTCCCACCAAAGCAAGACTCACCCTTTGGCACCCCAGGTGTGCTGTCCCCTGCATCTTCCATGTCCACAGAATCCTTCCTTCCTCTGCAAGGTAGCCAGGGAGTGGCAGAGGCCCAAGGGCATGGGATCAAGGTCACTCTGTCTGCTGTGGAGGATAAGGAAGTGGCCAAGCCCATTACAACCATGAAGATCAAGTTAATTGTGGAGGAGCCAGACATTGCTGTTGTGGTTGACATGCGGAAGATGGACACTAATGCCCTCATGATGCACGTAAGCCATAGGTTTGACCTGTTTGGGTTACCATTACAGAAACATTCAAGTGAGTTAGTTGTTCCATGCAAATGCCAAGGATATGCAACAGAGTATTGTGTGTAGATTATAGTGTAAGTCTATTGATTAATTGTAATTCATTGTTTTTTCTTGATATTGAGCAGATGAAGTGTGAGATGCAATACAGGGCAAGCAGTGACCACCTGATGATGACAGGAAACATAACAGACTTCCGCATGTACTCCTGTTGTTACAACCTGGAGAAGAGGTTGAAGACATCATCTGAGGTTTTTCTCCCTCTTCCTCTTATGCTTCAGATCACCAAAGACTTGGTAAAAGATGGATTTTGCATTGATGCAGGTGCTGCGTCCAGCCTCCCTGTTTGTGACAATGAACTCCCACCCAGACAAGGACATGCGCATAGATGTGAACATGGGAGAGCTGATCCTTCGTGTCACCCCCCAGATCATCCAAATCATGATGACCATTTGGACCAATCTGATCAGCCCATCGCAGGCCATCGAAGAAAACCCTCAGGCACTTCAGCTCCCCTCCTTTACAGGCATTTGGGAACAGAAGGCCATTACTGAGAGAGACCATTGGTTTCTTCGCCCTGGTATGTATTCTCCAAGTTCTATGCTGCTGTATCTGGAGTGAATTCATGGAGTGCTATTGTGCACCTCTTGAAATAGTATGCAGGACAGAATGTACCCTTAGTGTTCCTCATTTTTAGCCTATCACAACTGTAAATTCTATAGAAAGGAATTCTCTTGATCCTTATAAGTCTCAGTTTTTAGTCTAATGGAAATTTGAATCTGATTTTCATTTTCATTTCATATTGAATTGAATGTCAGGCTAGGATGCCTTTTTTGTTCTTTTAAAAATATACTAAAAAGTCAAAAGTATAGTAATATCAAATCAATATAATATATAGGTGCACAAAGACTGCAATTTGGAATTGCTTTGACACTTGTTCCCTTGTAATGCCTTTTTTTGCATCATGTGAATCAATTTTTTCTTGTGCATGATGACCAATAACCTTGATGTAATGATATATCTAATGAGACTCTTGATCATGCCGATTGAGCATTGTTCCTTCCTCACTTCACTACTCTGTACAAAGGTGAAAAGATCTCACATGCATGTGATACATGTAATGCATGTTTTACATGCTTGTAGGCATGCATGTGGTACTTACAGTGCATGTTGTCTTTTTCTGACAGTTTTTTTTCCCAGGAATTGGTAGTAAACAAGGAAAAGTCACTGTTTTCCCAGAGGATTGCCTGTTGGCCATCTCACATTTATCAGGAGCTTGATTTAGCCACCTAGCTCAGCTGATAGTCTTAACAGTGAAGAATGCAAGTTGGACCAAGTGAGAACAGTCTTGTGTTTTTTTGTTGTTGTTTTTTTTCTTTTGTTTTTTAATTTTTTAGTGTGGCAACAGTATTCTTACAAGCTTTTTGATTGGTAGTGGGAACACTGCACCATTACATCTTGCTGGAACAACAAAAAATGTTTTACGAAACTGATATCTTATAATTAATCTCAATATCCTTTTAGTTTATTGTGACAGTAAAAAAAAATTAAATGGAAAAGGCTAGACTAGTTGTGGCAGCATGTGAGGGTAGGAGGGTTCAGTGCATCACCCCCTCCTTGATGCCATTTCTATGCTTCCAAAGGTCAACTTTCATCATTGCATGTTTGCCCTATTATTGTGTACCAGTTACACAATGTGGTTTGTGGATCTGGAGACAATTGAATTTTTATGCATCTTGGTTCAGTAATTTTCACTTGTATGTTCTCTTTCTAGAACTTTTTATTTTCCATGATGAATTCAGTGTGGAGAAATGCAAAAAATAAATGATGGCACATTAGCTTGCTTGAGGCATGCAAAGTTGCGTTCTTTTCAGGCATTTGTAGAATTTTGCTTTTTTTTTACTGAGTTTTTAAGATTAGATCATGAATACACTTCTTGGTTGTCTTTGTCAAGTTTGTAAAAGTGTTTCCAGACTCTTAAATCACTTAGAGATGCACTCAAGCCAGTGGTGTTGGTTATGTTTGGTTCATTCTTGATGCTTGATGTGCATGTGCATGATGCATTGCATGGAACTAACGGAGCATGTGTCGCTGTGACACTTGGGCGTTGATTCAGAAGAGGAGGGGGTGGAGGTGGAGAAGCTTCAGGCCCAGGTGCTTAGGGAGAAGGTGGTGGTGTTGGAACAGCTAGTAATGGAGGCCAAGACCATCATTTTAACCCTGGAGGTGGACTCAGCTGGACAAAGCAGTCCCCTCATGCTCTTTGAGTCCTCCTTTGTTGGGGAAGTGAACAACTGGAGCTCTGAGGTAAGATGTATTCCTTTCTTTAGTATGTTTAGGGCTTATTCATTTGGGTGCATGAAACTCTGGAGGGAGAAGAACTTTATGAGTATTTTGTAGAGGAGAGTACCAAAAATAAATTCCTTGGGAATATGATGAAAATTGGCTTGGACATGATTGATGCAAGGTGATGCAATCTATACTTCTCCTGAAGCCTCACCTGTAATTGCTTTTTTGTGGAGTTGGTAGGGGTTACAATTTGTGCTGAGGCTATATGAGCTTTGTTGTAATGAACTCAACTCATGGTGCCATGCAAGACACAGCATTCTCTTTCTATTTGACTTTGCTTGGAATTATTATTCTGATGTATGAAGAGTTGTTATGATTAATCATTGCATCGCTTATTTTTTAAATTGCTTCAGGGCTAAGCTATCACTTCTATAGGTCAATTAAACAGGTAAAAAATATTGCTTATCATAAGATGAAGATTGCATTCCCTCATTTTATTAGTTGCAATAGTGCCTGTAATAGCACATTTTTCTCTGAACTGTGCAGCTCCAAGTGTCTTCATCCATGTCCCTGGAGATGGCTTATTACAATAGCATCCTTTCCCTGTGGGAGCCACTTCTGGAACCAGTGGAGACCACCATTGATCAGAAGACCTCATATATTCCCTGGGACCTCAATCTGGAGGTAAGACCTGTCATCTCTCATTCATATTGAAAAAAGGGCATTTGACAAGCAAGGCCCATGCTGTTGTGCATAATGTTCATTTTGTCTAGCACATTCTTGGAATCTGTCATTCCTTTTCATTCCTTCTAGTCTCTTTCTCCACATTAAATGCATGTATTCCATCTCCATGCCCCTGCTGCAAGCCCATCATCCAAGACATTCTTTGAAAGCTGTTTCAGTTTCACCTCAGTGGCCCTATCATGACTTTTCTGTTCTGATTGTGCATCCCTCTATGGTGGTCATGTTTTTGAGTTGGCACGCAAGGAAATTTCATGTATAATGTGATGCAAGCTGACTTAGACTACTATGCATTATATCTGTCTACTTGCTTGCTTATACTGTAATTCAGTTTTTGCTATAGCAGCATGGAATAGCTGAGCCATCTACTGTGGCTGGGACATCCACACTGCACATTGGTTTCATTCCAGCATTGACTCCTCCACATTTCTTGACAACACCTGTCTGACTTTTAACTTGCATTGCATGTCTTATTAGCAAGAATGCGAAGGGTTGGGTTGTTTGCATACTTTATTGTAGTGTTAAAAGCATTAACACTTTTGCTCTGGAAGGTGTGACAGAAGCTTTTTGAAGTCTGCCAAAAAAGTTTATAACTTCGGAACACAAAATGTTAGAGACTTGCTATTTTTTGGAAATTGAAGTATAAGGTCTCAATTTTATTGTGGGAAATTAATTAAGAATGTGAAAAATTTTAAAGGATGTACTATTGCATCCACTGTCATCCGATGCTAGTCAGGGCTGGACATATGTTTATGTCCATTGGATCGAAAGTTTTAAAGCACATAGACCAATATACCATAATTTAATATTTATGTTCAAATAATGATTCAAAATTTGAGCTCAAATCTAGAAGAAAATGCAGGCTCTTTTTCAAATGGCACAGCAAAGACAAGTGTTGCATGTGTGGCATTTCTTCAGTTCCTGTTGATAATTGTCATCTTCACTTTTTCAGGAGCTATTTGACTATGAAAGAAATGCATTCAGATTTATTTTCCTAACATTTCATTTTTTTTTTAATGATGGGGTCCAAGACCACAGTGCACTTGAGACCACCTCAACATCTTTTTAAAAACCTCTTGTCTGTTTCTGCATGCCAAACTTCAGTCAGTTTCTCTAATCGTGAGATCCTAAAGTAAACAGACACAAGCAGAATGCAGTTCTAAGTGTAGCCTTTGTTATATAAAGAAGACCCACTAGAAATTGATTTCATCTCTGTGAAACACTTTTCTTATGCTCAGATCCAAGCAAATACCCTCATTGATGCTCTTGATGAAGTGGACAGTGGAGAAGCCTCACTCCTGCCCCCAGAATTCGTCATCAACATTCTGTCCAATGCAAGTTTTTCTTTGCTCTAAATGGATGCATCAAGGTTGTCTTTACTAAATATTGATATAATGGGTGCCTTTAATCACCAAGTATTTGGTAAAAAGTGTCAGTCAGCTTGTTTCACCCAAATATTAGAATTTAATACTTTACATTGCACCTGTTTTTATGCAAATTGTTGAATACATCAATTTCAGTTCTTTGTTTGTGGCACTATCAATTACAAGAGATTGAACAAAAGATGCAGTAAAGAGTGAAATGGTGGTAGTGAGCTTGAAATGAGATTGATGCTTGTGTGATGTTGGGATGGAACAGAGCGTGATGAACCTGACCCTGACACGGACATCATTACAAGTGATGAGCCAGCTATCTGAGGAGTTCCAGAAAGCCCTGGAGCAGAAGCTCTATCACAAGCAGACCATTGAGGCCCCATTTCTTATTCACAACTACCTTGGTGTTGATGTCACCTACATCCTGGCTGAGAGTGATCTTGTGGTGTGTTTTCCATTTCGATTTTGTGCAAGTTATTGCTTATAGATTGGTGTGATGTTGGTTTTATGAGTACTTAAGGCAGAGTGGGTCCTTCTAAGCTAAGTAGCTGTTGCTGAGACAAGGATTAATTTTTGGGGGGATTGGCAGCTGTTTGAGGAGCAAGTCTCAAGTGTGAAGGAAGTGGTTTTGAAACCTGGGGCCGCTGTGGGACTGAAGAAGGCACAGAACAAGGAGAAAGTCCAGACTGTCTCCATCCTCAGAGATCAGGACAGTCGAGAACAGATGTTCCTCACTCTTCAGGTGATCATATTTGATATGCAGTCTACTTGTAACATAGAGTTCAGTCCTTGAGAAAGTGGTGACTTTCTTTGGTTGGATAGATGGAAGGCTACAAGGGAAAATTCCAGGTTCCTGTGCTGAGATCTGACACACGGTTCTTCCCCATGATCTCAGAAACTAATGGGTTTATTTCACAAGTCTCCAGTGAAGGACTCCTCAAGACAATCATCCTCCGTTCTCCTGTTCAGGTCAGTGCAGTGATGAAGTGTGAGGTTGTTTAGATCCAAAATAGGATGTAGATTGACTTGCTGGCCAACTCACTCAGATGACTACTCAGCCTCTAGCGCATTCAGTCCTGAGGCTGTTTCCTTCCAGTTTCTCATCTTTGAAGCCAGTATATGCATGGCAGGTGCTACAGAAATGAGCAAAGGGGCCCAATAGCCCTACTAGTGATGAAATGAAAGATGATCATCCCATTTAGAAGGTGTCAGAGCATTTGAATTGATCACTACCCATAACAGACTGGAGCTGAATCCACTTCACAATTACCTTTTTAACCTGCAATCTAAGCTGCTCAATCATGAGCTTCCCCTCATTTCAGGTGATCAACCAGTTTGACCAACCAGTGGAAGTATTTTACATGACAAAGCAGGGGAATGAGGTGGCAAGGATTGGGGTAGTTGAACCCCTGGCTACTCTGAATCTTCCTCTTGATGCTGTTTATACCCCAACAGCTGAGCTCTTCTTCCGAGTCAATGGGTAAGATATGACATTTCATCTTAAAT